ATTGATTTTAATTGAGATAATGATGAAATAAAAATTAAATATCTAATTGGGAGTGTTTGGTAACATGGGGTGTTTGGGTTGGAGCCCAAGCCTATTCCATATTGGAATAGGGTAACTAATTTTTTTACTATAAAAGAAAAATGTTTCTTTGCCAAAAAAAAAAGGATAAGACTTTTCATTATTTCATTCTCTTGAAAAACACAAACACTGTAGCCCCATTTTCTTTCCCACGACAGAAACCCATTTTGCCTAAAATCAATTCAGTTTGATTTCATTCTTCTTTGATCTTAAAACCAACGAGGATCTAGCAAATTCCTCTTTGGTTCTTTGTGATTATCTTCGTGTGGACTACGTCGGTTTGATCCTACGCTTGGGTCGGTAGCAAAAACGTTAGAGGACAAATGTGGTGGAGCCTCCAAACATGCGTATGATTCTCTTACCTCATGATTAACCTTTTTGTGCAGATTTTACTTCAATATAAATTGTAAAATTATACCCTTGATCTTGGCTCATGTAAAAGATCCTTGTATTATATTTTTTTGTTTCCACTGCGTATATGGATCATTTACTAACACAATCATATACACGATGTACATCGCGATGATGATCACATAAGAATTGGTCGTCAGCTAGAGAGAGACGATGTCGAATCACCTCAGCACGTTGTCGATGAAATAGTGCGAGGGAACGGAAACCCTACACCTCAGGAAGGTCTCAAAGATCGCCACCCATCCTGGCGGGGGATTCTTCTGAGAATTCTCCCCCGAAACCATTAAGTTGAGCTATGGCGCATAGACTTTTTTTATGCACTCTAGATCCCCAATGGTAATTAAGGGTCGAGATTTCTTTCAAAGCCTATGAGCTGGGGACGACGGGGAGTGAGCCAACTAGATCGAGGCTCTGTCAGACAAGCCTATAGTGTCAAGGTCTAAGCTTTGAGCAACGAATTCTTCTAAGACCTCGAGGGACACATCCCAAGAGCTGCTGAGCCCATCGGCGAATCAAACATGTAGTCTATGGTACGACTACTAGAGGAAGACATGGATATAGCTCGCTTTTGGGTACTTGAAAAAAGAAGCGAACATGTGTCAAAGCTCGAACAAATCGGCGACCATTCCACACTCGCTTCCATTTCAGGCACCCAAGATAGCTCACACAATACGATGAAGGTACGCGACCTACTTGGGACACCGACAGCCATCGCGTTAAACCCTTGTAAAACCTAAGGCCATCGAAGATGCACCCAAAAACCTTACTAAAACCCTAAAACACACAATTTGGCCACTACCATGGCCACCCTTGATGCAAAACTCATAAAGAACGAAAGAAAGAAAGGAAAAGATCCTTACCATAATGAGAATGTAGAAAACTTGCTGGAAAACCACCGTGATGATGTAGGAACAATGGTAAAGAGAGCGATAGAGTTAGAAAACTTTCGGAGTAACTATTCTGATGTTTTTTGCCACCTTTTATACTGGTTTGCATAGGAGACAAAAGAGTGGGTTTTAATCATGGTTGTCGACCCATGATTGATTCTGACCCTCTATTCGTCAAGTAATCTTAGCCCTTGGACGTGGCCACATGCCTACCAACCATAAGAAGTGATGAATTGTCAGACTGCTGCAATGATAACCGTAGCTACATGTCACCTCGCTTTCGCGCATGAACAACTGTTGTCACCCATGTGTGACAAAATGTGATAACCAAAGGCTACCGCATTAAATGTGACACGGCCACTCAAAAATTACATATATGCCCTAACTTTTCATATTTTGAGTTTTGACAAGTACCATGGGAAATAAAGACCCAAGTGTGTAGTACGTCAGCTGAGCATAAGGTCGACACTGGAAGCCCGATTGAACATACACTCGAAGACCTGTTGATAAAGCCGAGCTTGGCACCAAATTGAGTAATAGTCTTCGAAGCCCGAAATGAGCATCAAACACTAGGGGGTAGATGTTGTGTGTGATTTTTCCACCAAGCTCGAGCCAACTCGAGGATTTAGCTCAACCTAAAATGAGCTCGGCAAAGATGATTGATTGACCCAATATAAGCTCGTCGAGTTATAGCTCGACCCAACATAAGCTAGTTGCAAACAATTCAAGCAATCATTCAATCAATCCTCGGTTTACTTTAGATCCCAAATATTGTAGGAATGACTAGATCAATAGTGATCACTATGCCCAATCACGAGAATATCATATTTACGATTCAAATCAATTGTAATCCTCTTAATTTCGCTCTTTTCTTTGTAAAACCTTGTATATAGACCCCTTCAAACAATAAGGAAGGGGTTACAAATTTTTCATAGAAATTACATTGTAAACTCTCACAACAAATACGAAAACAGTGGACATAGGCTTCAGGGTTAACCTCGCCAAACCACTTTAAAATCTTATTGTCTTTACTTTATTGCATTCTTTAACATTCATCGCTGATCATCCTTAATCACGTACACATCAGTTCCAATCCCGACAAGGTCGATCGGATCTCATAGGTTGGTGCAGAATTCTGTATCAACAAAGAGATATTCCTTAATAAAGTAATTAATATTCCACTCTTCATACATGTAATTTTAAAAATTATCTATTGAGATAGATAAATCATTCCATATTTTTTTCTCACAAATTAATACATAAACAATATATATATACACACACAGAGAGTAGAACCTCTCTTTATTCATAATATTAGGACCAACTAAATTTATTACTATGAGAATGTTATAACTTAATAGAGGTGTAGTTATAAGAATTATTGTTTTGATTTCTTATTTTATAATTCATGTTTTAGTAGTATTAGGATTTCAATTCATTTTCTTAGTAGTAATAAGATAGTACGGAAATGGATATCAAAGAGTCACTACAAATTTGAGTTATCAGATTGGACAACTTCACTACACTAATCAAATGGATATTAATGTCTTCCTCATCCTCAATCATCCAAGCGAGCAACAAGTCGCGTATGTTTTAACTGAAAAAGAAATCATTATTAGAATTAGACAAAAAAAGGAAAAAGATAATCATGAGGATGATAGTACGGAAATACTAAAAGTTTCATGCAAAGAAGCTTTAAATACGCTTAAGAAGTTATAAATATTTTGGCTTCAACAAGAAGATGTCCATACTGGCAGCTTATTACATACCCGTAAGATACAAGATGTGGTAACAACTCTAAAGCATAAATCGTTATCCCAAACAACTTTAGATAAATATTTATTTCATCTTAAACCTTTAATATAACATAGTATATATCTTTTACAATATACACATAATTATTACTATATAGAGGCAAGTTCCTTAAGACAGGATCTAGAAAAATTATAACTTACTACAATATGAAATTTATTCTTATTTATAATTGGCCCAAGTTAGGACCAAATTTTTTTATGACTATATAAAGATTATTCCTATATAGAGTATAACTATAGAGAGGTTTTACTATATATATATATATATATGTGTGTGTGTGTGTGTGTGTGTATTTTTTGTAACTATACCTCTATTAAGTTATAACCTCCTTATAGTAATAAATTAGCTTGATTTTACTATTATAACTATAAAGATGTTTTAATATATATACCGTATTCGATGAATTCATATTACAAGGATGAATTCTTTGATTACTTCATATTTTTGTAGAGACGCATTTGGTACTGCTCTCTTGATCATAGCAACAATAATGTCACCAATATGAGCATATTCCTAGGATTCGAACGCACATTAATTCTTGGGCCCTGCAGTTGTCTGCCACATTCAAATGGGTTTGAGATTGAATTATATCATTTTTTTAAAACAAAGGGAAAATAGCTTTTTGTGTGCATTTTTTTCTACACAAATATATAGATTATTATAGACTTTGTGCTTGCTAGCTGGCTGATTGACTACCTTTTTCTTCTGTGTTCTATGTCGTTTAATTATTTCAATTAACTGACTTGTCGGTTATATTTCCAAAACATAGCCGATTTGTTATGAAATTTTTAATAACTTGAAGAATAAACAGTATATCCCATGTATTCATATTACAGGGATGACTTCTTTGAGTTGACTATCGAGACAATGGAATTAAGTTAAGTAGAAGACTTCAGTCAAAGACACAGTAATTTCTTTAATCTTTAACTATGAAGAATTTTTTTCTTCTCTTTTTGTTTTAATTTTTTCTCTAAGTTATGTTTACCTAAAATTTAAAACAAGTTACTTTATGTGTGTTGCTTTTGCTTTTTGATAAATTGTGTTGAGATAATGGGATTAAGAAGAAGAATTCGAATTCAGTCAATGACACCATTTTTTTTTTTTTTTTTTTTTTGGATAACTGTATTGGCCAAAATTTGTATTGAACGTGATGAGGTCTAATAACATCATTAATATGTGACAACCTAGAGTTTTGGCCCAATCCCGATGAGCCCACGCTTAGAGTACCTTTTGAATTGCCTGCTCTATGAGTTGGGTCATCCTCCGAGTTAAACTAAATTGGGTCCGACCCATTCGCCCACATTAGTCCATAACAAAGATCAGAATCTAAGTCATATTCCTTTTGTAACAAGATCCCGTACCTCACCAAAAGAGAAAAACCTAAACTAATAAAGGCAAAAAATCTAATCTATTTCCGCAAAAGAGAACTCACCTATCAAATAGGACTCGGAATCCTATTAGGATTCGAACCCCTTAGGTTCACTATATAAATAGAGGCTCACCGTCTCATTAGGCATTAAGAAAATCACTCCTAAGCTCCCGCTCTTGTATTGTCAAAGTCACCGTCTACTTCAACTTCCCTATATTGCTAAAGCCTCCCCCTAACCTCGAGAGCAGGTCCATTGGCTCGTCCATAAGATTCTTTCTTTAATTCAATTATAAATTTTAGCGTTTACAGCTAGCAAGCACAAAGTCTATAATAATCTATGTATTTGTGTGGAAAAAATGCACACAAAAAGCTCTTTTCCCTTTGCTTTACTTGACATTTAAAAAGCCTAAAAAAGTAAACGTCGGCCTGTATATTTTTTACGCAGCAAGAAGCGCTAGCTTATTATGCACGCTTGAATCAAGCTAAAGGCTAGCTAACCTCTCTTGTTGCTGTTAGTGATTTAACAAAATCAAATTATCATTTTTCTCTTTCAGTTTTCTTAATTTTTAAGAATATCATGTGTACTCCAATACGTCCTTCTCGTGGTTGAGCACTGATGTGGCTGCAACCTGCAACTAAAGATCAATCTAAGGGCTCGAGTTCGTCCTTAGGCGGCACTGTTTGGAATAATTATGGATGGTCTAGTAATTTGGGTGATTGTACTTCTTGTAACTGTTTGTTTGATTTTTTGTAGTGAACCAAGATTCAGAAACACAGCGCGAAACCATAGAGGTAATAAAGGTTTCATATATAGTCAATATTTCTCCTTTCCTTCGAGAATTATCTTTTGAGTTTCATATCATTATATACCTAAAGCAAGCATAAGTGAATCGATTATAACAATTTTACATAAAAAAAACATTTGAAAGTTTTAAGTCCTAGACTCGAACTTGTGAGCTTATGAGAAACTTCACATATGGACTCAATTTAAATACTATTTTTTAATCTCTCTAGGTGAAACCCAGCAGGATCGGAGACAAAACCTTTTCAAGCAGCAAGTAAGCGTTCATATTTGGATTCCATATATATGAACGGGCATCTCCTGATTATTTGTTTTGTTTTGTTTAAACTTCACTGATGAACTCAGTTTAGATACTCCTTTTTAATCTCTCTAGGTGACAGATAGCAAGATCGGCAACAATAACAGATTCCAGCAAATGTTCATATTTGGATTCCATATATATGAACGAGCATCTCCTGATTATTATTATTTTCTCATGATGGATTTTCTGCTGGAATTACACAGCATCCACCACCCACTAACAATTTTACATAAAAACATTTGAAAGTTTTAAGTCCAAGACACAAACTTGTGAGCTTATGAGAAACTTCACTTATGAACTCAGTTTAAATACTATTTTTTAATCTCTCTGGGTGACACAGCTCGACTGACTGGCGACCAAAATAGATCCTGCAAGCAGAAAGTAAGTGTTCATTTTCTTTTGTTTTGTTTTGTTTAAACTTCACTTATGAACTCAGTTTAAATACTCTTTTTGTAAAATCCCATTTCTAATTTAGTAATAGCATGAATTTTATTTAGTTATTTAATTCACTTTCTATTTGATTTTATGGTAATGTTGTAAGAAAAGGGTTTTTCTGTCAGTTTTTAAAGTTTGCATTAAGGGGTGAAAACAAAAGAAATAAATTCTGATGGGTTTGCATGTATCAAGGGGGAAAAATCAGGACACTTTGTAAGGGGAGGCTTATGTGGCGGGGTTAGATGAATTAAGAGAAAATTGGGGGGCAGGTTTAAATTTCAGAAAAAGAAAATGTTTTGTATAAGAAAAAGAAATGGGCAGTCCGCCTAAATGAAGAAGAAGAAGATGAGAGCTGAGGGAGAAAGCGAAAATAGAGCAGAAAAAGGAAAAAAAAAAACAAAACAAAACAAAAAAAAAAAAAAAAAGAGAAGAAGAGAGAAAGAGAAGAAGAAGAGAGGAGAGAAAGGAGAGAAGAAAGAAAGGAAAGGAGAAAGAGAGAAAGATAAGAGAGAAAAGATAGAAGAGAGGATAGATAGAAAGAAGAAGAAAAAGGAGAAGAGAGGAGAATGGGTTCAGCTGAAAATGGTAGAGTGAGAGAGAAGAGTGGAGGAGGGTGCAGGGAGCTTTGGCAGTTAGAATAGTGAGTGGATCTAACTAAAAACCCTTTTAAAAAAAATCAAAATCTTGTTTGCATGTCAAGCTGTGAAATTCTAGCATGTTGTATTTGAGGGAAAATTGAAATTGGTGTGAATTTTTGCTTGCATGTGTCGGCTCAGTAATGTTTCGGGAAAAGTTTTCAGATCTGGTTCTTTTGCTCAAAGTGTTGAGATTATAATGCTGCATATTTTCCAGGATTATGTCTAATAGCTTAAGATTCTATATTTGCATGTGTTATATTCTTTTCTTTTTTTTTTATTTTTTTTTTTTACTTTTCATATTTTATATGCGCATGATGTCAATGAAGTAAAATGGTGCTGATATTGATAATGGAAAAATGATGATATTGGCTATTTGTTTTGGAAGGACATGTTTATTTTATTTTAATATGAGATATCCTTCTGTATTAATTATTAGCTCTTTGGTTTAATTATAATTATCGTGTGTTATTTGAGTTTTTGGCTTTTCAAAGTGATAATTGCTAATGATTGGTGTCCGACATATGCTATGGTAATGTGATGCTGAAATTTCTTTAATCTGGGTTAAACCGTCAGTTTCTGAAACATGTTTAGAAAATTACAGTTTCACCTTTATATGTGATTTTTGAATATGATGTCATATATGAATGATTTATAAGCACATACGTAATATGCTCTTGATTTACATGTTACTTGAGATTACGCATGAGATTATTGTGGTGCTAAAACCACCCTACGAAGTACAGAGTTACATATTATCATATGTAGTTTATGGCTCTGCACATGCGTATGACTGTTATTAGTGCTCTACCTAGGCGTTGAGAGGTCCGCCAAGTATGACAGTTTTGAGGCTCTGCCCGCGTGATGATAGACCTCGCCGGGTATGACAGGTACGTCTCTCGCTCTGCCTGCGTGTGGGCCACCCACCAAGTATGACAGATTTTCCCTAGGGTACTAGTTGTGGTGAGAGTTTCTAATACCAAATGTTGAGGTTTTATTCAGAACCTGATACAGTTAAAGGAAGTAAGTCAGAGTATAGTCTACTGAGTGCAGGGTGGTTAGAAATAAATCACATATTGCATACGTGAATGGGGTGTTTGTTTCCATTGCATATTTATATAATTATATTCTCATCAGGATTTGCTTAAGAATTGTTGTATGCTATCATTATTTCTTTTTTTTAAGAACTTTTATAAACCTCCCATTTCCCCCACTTACTAAGTATTTCAGCTCACCCCTTTTTAAATGTTTTTCCCCCCTCACCAGGACCTATCGAAGATCGTGCTGAGCAGTATGTCTTCGCTCAGTGTTGTGCCATGCGTCGACATCTTTTTATGTGGATTTTATATTTATGTCGTATTGTATTTTGGACTTCCGCTTCAAAAACTCATGTTTCCCATCATGTATTTCCTTTTGTTTATGTTTCGGAATGTGCTGTATAAGTGGAAAACCTGATAATACAAGTTTCCCTAAATCTTTTCTTTTTGTAAAACGATAGATGGTGTATTTTTTTTTAGATGTTGGAAATGGAAATACTATGATGTTACTCAGGAAAAGTAAGTCTTTTAACAGGTTTCATAGTTTTTCTACATGGCACGTCTCGGGCATCCGAGTCTTGTGGGAGCGCCCGAATCTTACGGGATGAAGAAATTCGGGATGGGTCGTGTCACTTTTTTAATCTCTCTAGGTGACAAGCAACACGATCGGCAACCATAACAGTTTCCTGCAGCAAGTAAGTGTTCATATTTGGATTCCATATATGTGAACGGGTCTCTCCTGGTTATTTCTTTTGTTTTTGTTTTTTATTTTTTATTTTTTATTTTTTTTCTCTCGATGGATCTTCTGCTGGAATTATACAGCATCCACCCACAATTTTATATAAAAACATTTGGAATTTTTAAGTCCCAGATACAAACTTGTGAGCTTATGAGAAACTTCACTTATGAACTCAGTTTAAACACTCTTTTTTAATCTCTCTAGGTGAGTCAGCAGGATCGGCAACAAAAACAGAATTTGCAGGCAGCAAGTAAGTGTTCATTGATGCCATCCGAATGCTAAATATGGCTTCATTTTGTATATTCTAACTTAACCTGTTTTAATTTCAAATCTTTCATTTATGTTATACTTACAGCATTGTGGCATTTAGTATAGCCATGCCTGCTGATATTATTTTATGGTCTTCTAATTTTCCAGATAACTCTTTTGCCAGCCCACTGCGGCATGGGCAACAGAGTGCTTCTCCACCAGCTGATTACAAAGGACCTAGGCTGCCAAAGCCTACTCCACCCCATGGCATTGCACTGACCCCAGTGCCTGTATCCACTGATGGCAAAGCTCCTTCAGCGAGTGGCAGTTTGGGTGCCGATAAACCTTTCCCACCGCCTTTCCCAGGTGTTAGTCCTGGAAGTTTGCGGAGCACATTTACTTATGAAGAGCTAAAGATGGCAACTGACAATTTCTCTAATGCAAACCTCCTTGGTCAGGGAGGTTTTTGGATATGTCCATAAGGGAGTCCTTCCTGGTGGGAAAGTGGTAGCAATCAAACAGCTCAAAGCTGGCAGTGGACAGGGGAAGCGTGAGTTTCACGTAGAGGTTGAGATTATTAGTCGTGTCCATCACAGACATCTTGCGACTCTGATTGGATACTGCATTTCTGGGGCCCAGAGATTGCTTGTCTATGAGTTTGTTCCAAATAAAACCTTGGAATTTCATTTACATGGTTAGTGCTTTCTGTGATTAGGTTCTGTTGCTTTGATGAGCAAGAAATTTTTTCACAAATTTCTAATTTTCTAATCTTTCAAATTTTCATCCTTTCAAAATTCTCCTGGTGCAATATTATAGCTATACCCGTTGCATGGAATTGAATTTATTAACTTAGTTTTCCTTATACGAAGTTCTTCCGAAACAAGCATAACTAGTTTTACCAAAATAGAATGAAATTTATCAACTGTGATACTCTAGTCTCATCATAGTTGAATATCATTTTCAGGAGATGGGAGACCAACTCTAGGGTCAGCCAGAGGATTGGCCTATCTGTATGAAGACTGTGAGTATTCTTTCAATACTAGTTTCTCATCTTAAATTTTAAGCAAATTGTGATATTCAAGGTGTTATTCTGGAAGATTCACTCTTTTTGAGACCCATTTATCTTCAGGTCAACTCAGGATTATACATCGTGATATAAAGTCTGCTAATATTCTTATTGACAATAGCTTTGAGGCAAAGGTACGATGATTAATAGGTTTGATGTTTTCCCATTATCATTGTAGACTTTAAGATATATCATAAATGTGTAACAGTTTTCTCAATATTTGAACCATACCTGCAAAAATGTTCTTGACTGGTTGAAGCGCACTGGCCGTTGCACTGTTAGGTTTCCTTCCCTTAAAAATTATTGGAACAAGCTCTTAAATTGAAGATAAACTTAGTTTTAGCCGCTAAGATGTTTTTCTAAGATTCCTTAAACATTGCAAGTAGTAAACATTTTTATGGTGTGGTCAAAGCATGCTGGTTATTTCAGACTGCATGTGACTCTAGAAGTCACATTCATGTCAATGTTAGTGCTCCAATTCTAACCTGTTTTGATTGTAAAATCTATGATGTACTCGTTTCTTTCACTCAGGTGGCTGATTTTGGACTTGCTAAGTATTTTTTAGATACTGATACTCATGTCTCTACTCGAGTCATGGGAACTTTTGGGTAACATTCACTTTTCTGTTTCATTTGTGAATAACTACCTTGCTAGCTTTCACCAAATACAATTACTTATATTGTCTTGAACCAATCCTCTCTGTCACCTCTCACGAACATTCACCAAAACGTAGTTACTTGGCTCCGGAGTATGCTGCATCTGAGAAGCTCACTGATAACTCAGATGTCTTCTCCTTTGGGGTTCTGCTGCTAGAGTTGATTACTGGGTTTCGGCCTTCTGACAAAAATCCTTCCTTTGATGATGATAGCATGGTTGACTGGGTATGTATTCTCTTAAATGAGCTCCAGTATGTTTAACAAGACTAAATCTATGTTGTTGTAGGCCCTCTAGGAAATTCATGGTCGTAGATAGTCTGGAGAAGTATTAAGGGGACAAGTCACTTATAAAACTTGGAAAATAATTAATAGTTGTGGCAGTGTTTTATCGCTATTCATTATCAGGGATTTTGCTGATTCATTACTTGCATAGTCCATGATCAGTGGATGAATTTAGGTAATGGCCTGTTAAGGTAGAATAAGTAGAAACTTTTTGCAGAAAGAGATTGAATTTCCAACGGCATGTAACTCTGATAAGTACATGCAGATTTCCACACTAGATAAAACCTTTGATGTCTTCTTATGCAATTTGGGTGCCTTGATAATTATTTGTAGATGCTGTATTTCTATATGTACTGAGGATAAAATCTTGTACAAACAATGAAGTGAAACCTTTTCTACATATTCCAGGCTGGGGTCTTTTGTCTCTTAGTTGTAAAAGTTTATTCAGGAAAAATTACTGAAACCATTATGAATTTTAGGCAAAACCTTTGCTCGCTCAAGCTTTGGAAGAGGGCAACTTTGGGCCTCTTGTTGACCCAAAGTTGAAGGAGTATGACTCCACTGAAATGGCTCGAATGGTTGCTTGTGCTGCTGCTTCTGTCCATCATTCAGCAAGGCGTCGTCCACGAATGAGCCAGGTACTTTCACAAACTGCTTTAGCTCTAATTAAATAAGTTTCTCAAGCTTCTCTCAGTATAATCAAGTTATTTTTCATTTGTTACAAAGTAACCAATTTCGGTTTCAGTCTCAATCTATTTTAAAGTTGGCAAGTTAACAAAATAATCAAATATTTGATTCCTGTTAGTAAAAGGGTAAAAATGTCATTTGGAATACTGTTAGTTGTTAAATAATGTTTGTTACTATTCTGTTTCACTTTCAGGTAAAATGTAACAGTATTAGTTAGAGCATCGTTGCACTATAAAAAGTGTACAGTAGCTCATTTTGTATTAACTGAAACAGTATCAGTAAAAGAAGTATATTCAGCTCTCTTTCCTTTTTCTCTCGTTTTCTTCTCTGTTTTAGGTCTTTTGTTCAACTTTACTCAAAACATCACATGGTATCAGAGCCATTGACTAGCGTAAAAAATGGTTGATCTAACACACTTCTCTTCCACTTCAGTTAATTCAGCTCACAAAGTACCCACTGGTTCAGCCGATTGCATGAATTCGTCGTCAATGGTCTATTCAGCTCTTCCTATAATTTCTCCTAAACTGACTAGGGATAACTACAGATTTTGGAAGTCACAGATTCTATTCGCAGTTGGATCTCACGATTTAGAAGAACATCTTACTGGATTAATATCATGCCCAGCTCCATTTGTCAAGATTCAAGCTGAAAACTCGGAAGGGACTGTAGAGAAAAGAACCAATCCAGAGTACAATCAGTGGAAGAAAACCGACAAATTACTTGTAAGCTGGCTTCTTAGCTCAATTTCTGAATCCATGTTCAATGTAGTCTCAAAGTGTCAGTTTTCTGCTGATATGTGGATAACCCTAGAAAAAGAGTTTCTTACTGAGTCTAGAACCAAAACTCTGCATATTAAGAATTTGCTGCAAAATACTAAGAAAGATAATCTAAATATGCTTGAGTATTTTGTCAAAATGAAAGGATTTGCTGAGGTGTTGTCTGGTAGTGGAATTATTGTGACTGATGAGGAACTTTTGAATTATATACTTGAAGGATTAACCTCTGAATATGATCCTGCTATAGTGAATATAACCATCAGATTAGAGTCCCGTTTAGATCCTTTAACAATTCAGGAAGCACAAATCATCCTCCAGAAATATGAACTTAGGTTAGAAAAAGCAAATCTGGCTTTGAATTCTATCATCAACACTAAGTTTAGTGGGGGGTTAGTACATCTTGCAAATATCTCTACAAATGAAACAGATAAGAAACTTCAGAATGATCTACACTCTAAGTTCAGTTCTGAGCAATCTGGATTTGGATCTGGTTTTGGACAGTCTCAAAATTCCCTTTACAATCCATTCCTAACCATAATCACCCTGTCAACCCATTCACTTTCAACCCATCCTACTCTCCACAATTTGGGGGTGGTCGAGGTAGAGGCAAGGGATTTGGAAGAAACAGGTTGGTATGTCAGGTTTGTGGAAAAAATGGTCACTTAGCATTAAACTACTATCACCAGTTTGATGCTAATTTCACTGGAGCTAATAATGTATCAGGCAGAAATCAGTTTTCTCAACACTATATCAGATCACCAGAAAGCCTTCAGCCCTCATTCTACACTTCAAATAGTCCTTATGACTCCTCCAGTTCACATCAACCTATGCATTCCCAACTTGACTTCACCAACAGTTCGAAGGCTAATTCCATTGGGTTTCTAAACAATCCTCAGTCAATTCCAGTGCAGTCTCAACCACCTATGAATAATCCTCAGAATCAAGCACTTCTGTCTCAAACACATACCTCTCCTGGTTCTAATCCAGTTGCACATTACACTGCCACTCCAGCCACAGTTCAAGATGTCTCATGGTACATGGATTCTGGAGCAATAGACCATGTAACCTCTGATATTTCTCAACTCACACTGAACTCAAACTACACTGGCAATGAGCAGCTTCAGGTTGGAAATGGTGAGCTTCTTCCTATCTCTCACACTGGTTTTACTTCGTTTTCATGTCCATCTAGATCTCTTCATTTGAAAAATGTGTTATGTGTGCCTTCTATTACCA